CGATCTAGCAATGGTAGGGTCACCTTCACAGACTGGGTGAAATTCTTTTGCGAGGACTATTCCGAGGGCGGTCAGGGTACTTCAAAGGGGAAAGGGAAGGCAGTTGCAAAGGAGATGCCTCCTATATATCAGTTCGAGGTTGATGATGACCGTGTCTTCTTGGACGCCTACCTGACCTTTTTCTTGTGCAAGTCTGTGCTTCTTGGCTGGGGGGGGGACATTCACTTAGGGGTACTATATGTGGCATGCGACATGGCCAGAGGGTGTGAGTATGCCCTTGCTCAGCCAGTACTATGCAACATACACCATGGCTTGGGGGCCATATACTGTGGAAAGGCTTATAAGGGCTAGGAGAGAAGGAACAACGTCGTAGGAGGAGAAGCGTTTCCTGGGGACTTTAAAACCCCATTGCATGTCCATTACATGTATGGGTGGCTAGGGGCTTATTTTCTCGACACCTACGTCAAGCATCAGTGCTTAGGAAATAAGTTGTGGCCCTTCTTGATGGAGATAGCGAACCAGAGGGCCATCTTCCATACCCCAGGGGAAGCTCGGGGTCTATTCTTTGAACAAGAGGAGAGTCCCTTTCCCTGTCGGGAGCTTCACCGACCGTGCTATTGTCGATGAGTTGGGGAAGGAGCTGGACGGTGCCCCAACAACGATTAAGAAACTCATGTTCATGCTGAGCATCAGAGGGGGAGTCTTACCTTATCAGATTCCACATAGTGCCCGACTAAAGGGCGGAGGAGTTTAGAACTTTTTGGGAGTGTTGGCTATCGGAACATATACGAACTACTTTGGTCCTTGTGTCTTGAAATGACAGAGACCAGCAAATATGTTCTACCTCACTCGACAAATGAGGCTGGGGGATGCTCCTGCTCCTAATGAAGTATTCGTCTTGAACTATCACTCTAACCGGCGGGATTTAGGTCTTCCACATGAGGTAACAGTTGACTAGGCCTCGTCAGAGTTCCTTGCGATGAAGATGATAACTGGGAGTGTCTTCGGCAATCTTAGCTTGATCTTTGAATGAGATGAGGGGCGATAGGTCCTTGGTTATGAGAAGGGCCCACCACAGAACTTGAACGCCATAATCGGGAGTGGTCCTCACAGTAAATTGGCAAAAGGGCCTCCTCAAATGGGTGGATCAGAGGCGGCAGCTCCTACTCCGACAGGGGAAAAGAAAAGAAAGTGCCTGACTGCTGCAGATACTCCTGTAGCATCTTCAGGTAGTGGGCGTACTCGGCGGCGGAAGAGCGAAAAGCTCTCTGTGGTATCAAAACCAGGAGATAGCCCTTCCTCTTTTGATCTTTCAAGAATTCTTCTAGTATCCCCCTTTTTACTTTCTGAACTATCTTTTGCTTCTGCTAAAATGTGTTCTTTTTCTTCAGAAACCAAGGCAAACAACTTCTAGAGCTCTAAGCCTATTGACATTACTTCTGATCGGGAGGGGACTCCAGATCTTAGGGAGGAGCCCTCGAGTCCAGGGACAGCTTCTGAGTCAATGGCGGCTAGGATGGAGACTGAGGAGGATGAAAGCCTCGAAGCAATTGCTCCAGATAATGGCTCATATGTCGACGTTGCCTCCATGCATGAGGGGTTTAGTCCCCTGATTGAGGTAGGGGCTACGACTCAAGAAGAAGAGCCTGGAGTTGATGACATGCCCGAGCACCAAGAGGTTGCTATTCCTATGGTTCTGAGTCACGAAGATGAGGGGGCCGAGCTCTTCGTGGCCGAAGTTCTGGCTGTTGAAGGCGAGGGCCAAGTGGAGGAAGCTATTGCTAGGGGTGAGTCGGCTGGCGAAGGTAAAAGAGAAGGGGCAATTTCTGAACTTGGTGATGCTGAGGTGACAGTTTAGGAGAGTGAAGAGCAAAGGGAACAGGTTCCTCTTCACCCTGTTGAGATAGAAGTGGAGGTCCTCGTAAGAGAGGGTCAAGACAACGAGGTTGGCCTCGAAGAACCTGTGCAGATTGAGACCGGGGCTGTCTATGAGCATAACGGGCAAGAAGCTCTAGGCTTTGCCCTCTTTTCAGAGGAACCAGTGGCTCATATGGCTATCACTTCAACAAGCCCGGTTCTTGAGGTCGAGGTGTCTTCCACAGTGGTGGCCTCAGTAGCACTGTCCAGGCCTGTTTTTTGTGGTGTTTCCAGCATGATTGAAGGCATGCTTAAAGCAAGCCTCCAGGGTTTGAGGGAGCTGCCTTTCAATGAGTTGGGAGAAGGTTTGGCCAGGCTGAGGGATTTTGCTGGAACTACTGCAATCGAGGTGGCTCCAAGGGTGCTTTCTCATTTTGATACAACTCTAAACGAGGTGGAGAACAGGTGGTTAGGAGTGCTGCATCATGAGGAAGAAACCACAAGGGTAGCCTCCTTGGAAGAGTTAATCTTGCCCAGTCGCGAGAAGATAAATGCTTGTATTAAGAAGAAGGCCCTGATAGCTGGTCACCAGCAGGACCTCAAGAAGGAGGTGCAAGGAAGTTTTAAGTTCGGGAGGCAATGCTGCGTGAATACTGAAGGAAGAATTCTCGAGCCGTGAGACAGAGATGGCTCAAAGGCAGGCCATGGAGGCCTCTTTGCTCACAGATTTGTCTGAACTCGATGACACAATTGAGTCGAAAACTGTGGTGATGACAGAAGCGACTCAAACAGTGGCAGAGATGAAGGCACATGTTGAAGGCACTGAGACTTCTTCTGAAGCATGCAACGCTGAGATCAATAGGGTGATTGATTATTTCTGACCATGTCATTTTCCCCCATCTTTTTTTTTCTTTAGTGCCTATAAATTTTTTTACTGATGAATAAAGTGCTTCTCTTTTTTATTGACCTTACTGGATGGTTTTATTCTCTCTTTACTTTTACTACCCTTCATGTGATTCTTTTGAATAACTCTCAATACTTCCATTGTCCGAAGAGACTAATACCCTAAGCCTTGTTTTACCCCATGGCGGGCTGCCGTGGCTTGGATAGCTTCGAAATAGGGGTTCATTGCTTTTTCTCCTTTCAATGTCTGATTGGCCAAATTTTCATAGTTCATTTTCCTCATGATTTGGTGAGCCTGATTACTATAGATAGTCCAGTCAGGAGGGGCTTTGGCCTCCATTAGTGGCACATTTACTTCAAGCTCATCATAGCTTTCAATCTTTGACACGAACTTTTTGAGATGCTTTGAAGCGATACACATGACCTCTAATTGGCTTTAGAGGCTGCGGACTTCGGCTCTCAGGTTTGCTAGAGGATCCTGCCCTTGAGGGGAAGGAAGTTTCCCTCTCCAAACTTCTCTTCTGAGAGATCGGGGAAAGTTAAAAATTTTGGCTGGACAACAGTCTGAAGAACATCCTCTAAGCAACCGGATTTTGAAAGACTTTTCGTGGCGGTTGACACGGTGCTTCGGCTTTCAAGAGTGCAATGGGGATATGCAGGACTTTCTAATGGTCCGGTGTATAGGTGACCCTTGGAGCCGAGAATTCTATCCCCATGGCTTCCTCGATCTCAGGAATGGCTTCTGGTTCATTTTCTGGCCAAGATGGCTCAGAACTGGGAGCAGAGGGTAAGGACTATTTTTCAAATGAAGAAGGGGTTTCTTGGATTATAGTTGGGATGTTGGAATGAAGAGTAGTTGGGGGTAAAATTCTGCCCTGCCTTTCTTCTTCCTTGAACACGTTCACTAACGTCCTCCTAACATCCTCAACATCTTCATGAGACAAGGACATAGTCTTGCTTGTAGACTCGTGACCTTCTTCTCTCATCTTTTGAGGGGACGCCAGATCTGTGAAGTAATATTTTACATCTGCAGAGTGAGTTTCGGCCACAAGGAATGGTCTTTTATCAATATAGATCGTGTGCTATCTCCCGTCTCGACTATTTTTGAAACGTTGGGAAAATGTTGATGGAACCACCCCCTAATCATGGAGCCATGGCTGACCGAGGAGAATATTATAAGAAGTGTCGGTGTCGATTACATGAAACTGGGCGTAATTGTTCAGCTCATTGATCTTAAGATGAAGGCATATCGTGCTAGCCGGTTTTTCTCCTGATTAGTTAAACCACCCCTGAACTGTGATGTGGATCGGGGTAAGGTCTTCGGACCCCAACCCTAATCGAGTAAGGATCCTTCTTGGAATGAGGTTGACTGCCGAGCCTCCATCTAACATGATTTGGCTAATGGGGCGTACATGTAATTTGCCAGCAACAAAGAGAGGGCGATTGTAAAACTTTTCCCTTAGCCGCAGATCGTCCTCTAAAAAGGTGATTGGCATACATCCTTGTAGAATTGTCGGGTCTACCACGATAGGTTTTACTTCGGTCTCGTTCACTTCTGGGTCAGAGAGAGCCTGAACCAAAGCCATCCGGTAATCCTTTGAAAGCATGAGGGCATTGTAGACACTGAGAAGAACTGAAAGCTTCCGTAGATGCCCTATCACATCATATTCACCTTCTTTTGATCAAGACCTTGTGCTCTTGGACCTACCACTAGTTTGGTGGGTATATTGGGTTGAGGAGTAGGTTTGGATAAAGAGGGTTTATTTTAGCTGTCTGGCTGACTCACTTGCACAACAGGATTGGTTTGAGTGATTGACGTTTGAGGCTTTGGGAGAGAATGAGTGCATGGGGTCAAAGGATTCTTAGGAAATTGGAGAATAGGTGTATTGGGATTAGGAAGGAGCCCAGGGAGCTATAGGATAGACAAACTAGTCTTTGAATTAGGGGGCAGTGGTAGACTAGGGAAGTTCAAGGTGTCCAAATTTTGCGGTCTTGTCCTTGCAGCCTCATCTGAGATTTATTTGCCCCGTGATGGGCATTGCTCCTGAAATTTGCACCATGTGGCAAGCCCCTTGAGAATAGAAGCTTTGCCCTCTTGATTATCTCAATCTCTGCTCGAAGTCAGGCTCAAGGGGCCACTGGGGCTTCTTTGGCTTTGACTTCTTGTGCTTCTTTGATGAAGGTGGCTCTGCCTTGGCTTTAGCTGCCAGGGAATCAACAACTGTTAAGAATCCTGCTACCTATGCCAACATCTTTCTCAATCGCTTCAGCTGCGTCCTACGTATATTGATTTCTTCGAATTTCCGGTCGAGAGCCTCGAAGTCTGGGCACATCAAGGTCATATCTACAGAAGACATAAGAGAATGAGAAGCAGGAAAAAAAGGTGGAGAAGGGTTGGAAAGTGGGGACTTTTAAGGTCGTTCCCCTCATCAGAATGATCTGAGCACCGTTTTACGTCATCACTAGGATTGGATGGTTGCAGGGGATATTTTAGGTCTTTCCCTTGCTCAGACCGTTGGGGAATGCTTTTAACGTCGTCACCCTCATCGGACATTTGCTGAGTAGAAGATGAGGCGGGGACATCTTCTTAACAAGACGAAGAAGGAAAAAGGATTATGCCGGGGATGAAGTCCACGAAAGTTGGCAATGGAGGAAGGGACCTAAGAAATTCTTGCTCGACTGTGGGTTGAGCAGTCTTATTTCTTCGGCGAGCAGCCCTCAGTGCCTGTCTCTTTTTGGTTTTTTGACGATATGTGTGATTTGTCTCACTTAGCTATGAGAACTGCTTCTCGCTTCAAAGACTTGAGTCTGCTTCGGCCATGGTAGATCATCCATGGCTGGAAAGTTGAGGGTTCCACAGGGTCTGAGTCATTGATAGGAAGGTCCTAACTTGTGAGATCTTCTTGCCCCGATGAGGGAATGATTTGAGGATCACTTACGGGAAGATTGTAGAATTCTTGATACTCCCGCATTTTCTTTGCGAATTTGTCAAGGAAAGTTGTGCCTTCTGACAAGTAATGACGTCTTATCTGATGGTATGGACACCAACGATCTTCAGTCCCCTTAACAAGGTGAAGGGGTTGCCTTGCATGCTTTGTTGTGATTATGCCTTCCTGAAGCATTGGAATGAAGAAGGTGTAGAGAATTCCAGGCACTTCATCCTCCTCTTGGATGATTACAACATAGGAGACATCAGCTGCCCCGAAGGCCTTCTTTAAGTCTTCGAGCTTTATTTGACCCTTCCAATGTTCACAAAATTGAACCGGAATGGTTAACCGGTTTTGGGGCTGGGAGCGGTTTGAACAGGAACTAGACTAACCGAGGCGGTTAACAATTTTAACTGATTAACTATTTTTAAAAAAAAAACACAAAAGGTGAAAAAATCCAAAAAATTTAAAAAACAAATTGAAAAAAACTTGAAAAACTTAGATTAAGTACATACTATTGTATTACATACATTTATCTTACAAAAAAAATTGAAAAAACTCTTAATATAAATTAATATTTGAATACTATGAAGATATGCAAGACAATTTAGTCAATAAATGAAGTTACAAAGTCCAACTAACAAAGCTAATAGTAATGAGAATGGCGAGGGGGATCATGATATTGTTGTGTTTCACTATCAGGATTTACAGGGTGAAAAATCTGAGTAAGGCTTGGTGGCGTCTGTAATGCCACAGTTGTGCCCCACTCGCCAGTCAGGAATATTTCTTGTGGTACCCCCTTGGCCAAAGTCTCCTAGACTCGTTCAGCCTTCATGCTCTCCCCCACCCTGTTCTGTGTTACCCCCACCCTGTCCTATGTTACCCGCACCCTGTTCTGTGTTATCCCCACCATGTTCTGTGTTATGGCCCTTAGCATCTTCATTATTGTAAATTGAAATTTTATTACATACATGTTTTGATTAAGGTTTACCTGTTGCATACACTCCATCTGAGTTTCAAGATCAAGTTCAAGCATGTAGATGCAGTTTCTTACCCCCTCCATGATATATGCATCATCTAAAGTGGCATTGGATTACAAATTTGGTGGATTAAGAAAGAACCCTGCACATGGTTTGTTATATTATTAATTACGGTAACTTTTCTCGGAGTTGAGAAAGAGTCATGAATTGCGACAGTGAATCATAAATTACCTGCTGCATGGATATCCTGGTACAGTTGGTCTCTCCACCGACGATCAACAATCTCCAATATCTCTTCATTCCATATGTTATTCTCAAATATAACTGCCCTTGCACATCTCATTGCATCGAACAGAAACCTCATTGTGAGTTTATCATCAGAGTCACATAACCTCAACACCCATACTAAAGGTTCAGTTACAGAAACAACATGGTTACATCGAGCCCAGAACCTCCGATCGAGAAGGGTAGTTTCAACCTGCCTTCCAAGTTGACTCATTGCTGCCATATCAGTATTCCATTCATTAGAGCATATCATTGACCTCAATCCTGCCTTGTTTACCAATATCGATTGTATCGTAAGGAATGTTGTAGCGAATCTAGCAGTGGACTCCCTGACAATCTCTCGCATGCAATGCTCCCTCATTAAAGCATGGAGGTACGTGTGCTTGTATATAAACCTTGTAATCAACTTGATCTTCAAAATACAATATCTAACCCTCTTCAGCTTCTCTATTTCCTTGAGCATCAAATTAATACAACAGGCAGCACAAGGAGGCCAATAAAGATTGGGTCTTCTCTCCATTAGCAACAAGCCTGCTTTTCTGTAATTCGCAGCATTATCAGTCACTACTTGGACCACGTTTTTAGGCCCAACCTCATTTACAATTTTGTCTAGGTGGGCGCATATCAGTCTTCCAGTATGTCTCTTTCTTGATAAATCAATGCTAGAGTGGTAAACAATGCCCCTAAGGCAACCTATTAAAAAATTAACAAGATACCTATGGAACTTGTCCTTCCAATCGTCAGTCATGATGGTCACTCTTGTACCTGGCCAACAAACCTTGAACTGTGCAATAGGCTTATCAACATCATGAACAACAGCTTCTAAACATGGCCCTACAAGCTCCTTCGTAGTTGGACCGTTAACACCTGGCCCTGCCTCAGCTATAGAAGCTACCATCTGTGGGTAGAAGTCTGAGCTTGCAGAATTAAATGGCAGTGCATTAGCATACCAGAACATGCTAATCATCTTTCTTGTTTTTTCTATTAATACACATGCTGATGGAAATTTTAATTTTTTTTATGATATTGTGACTTGTGGGGATCAAGCCTAGAGGGTTCGTGGGTCATTGATAGCACATCTATGGGTTCATATCGTTGAGTAGTAGATGGTCGACTATAAGAGGATGTGAGACTAGAGAAACTACGTCTCAATCTACTAGATGTGGGCCTAAGCAATAAAGGCCCACATCCTCCCCTACCCGGTACTACATGTTCTTGAGGTTGACGGTTACTAGATGCACCATCCATTCTCCCATACATCTCTTGAATATTTGCAATCCTATCTCATTCCATTTGCGCCTCAAATTCTGCCTCTTGGTCATCTTCCTCATCTAGTGGACTTTCGTACCCCCTCCGTATCTCCTTTGCATCCCTTTCTTTCTGCACTTTTTTTCCTTTTCCTTCTATAATTATTTTTATCATTTGCTGTTTTACTTCTGGAGGCACTTCTTAAAAACCGGTGATGTTACCCTTTACCCAAGCAAGATGTTCTTTTAGGAGTTAAATACCACCACCCATTTTCTTGTTACAAAAATTTCATCGAACTCTTCCTTTGTCATTTACTTTTGTATCATACTGCCATGTCACATCTCCCCTTCTCATCTTATTATTTTCTTGTAAGCATGGATATTTAAGCCCAACTTTCTCATGAAAATGAACAAGTTACAATAACATCCAATAGAAAAAAAAATTATAATTAAGATGACCATGAATCACCATGCCATTCAATTTTTATTTCTCAATAAAACACATGCATGTGTGCCTCTAGACCATGAAAGCTGAAAAAGGCATGCATGAGGGGAATGCATTAAGAAATGTGGTGCTTTTAAACCGAGATTTAAGTTATTTTCCCAGTTATTGGAGAAGCATGAGGTAATACTAGAAAATATGTTTTCTAGAGGGCTAAGGTCAAGTAAATCCTTCAATGGGGAATATGAACAAAAATAAGTGCCCAAACCTTTCTCAAAGCACATGGTACACCATGAAATTAAATAAGCGCAGCAACCTATTAAACAAGAAGTAATCTATATAAAGATACCTCAATTCCTGATGAGCAGTTTGCATTTCATGTGATAGTGACCCTTGCCATGAATATATATTCAAGGTAAAAAGTATTTCTCAAAAGGTTCTCAATGGATGCATCAGAAGGGAAAAATACATCCACTTTCCAAAAGTGGAATTTACTACACTCCTTACTATAAGTTTAAACTATAAAGCATGCATTGCTCCAAGGAGTTCTACAAGCTAGTACAATAGATAAATTCTATATGTTGATCAAAACTGAAGCTCTGATAAGATATGTTGCCAAAACTGAAACCTCTATAAGAATGGGCTTAAACACAATTAAAGTTGAACAACTAAATATATCCATTTTTCATAACATTAAGATATAAAATCTTAATTGCTACATATAAAAAGATATAAAATCTTAAGGCTTTATGACACAATTGCATAATGAAGTATAGCCAACAGGTAGTTCGATACTTAAAGAATACTTGGAATACTGAGTGTTTTTTTAATCAAAATGACTCCGTAAAATCAAATCATTTATAAAAAATGTCTCCTTAAAATTTAAAGAATACTTGGAATACAATATTGTTTTATTGAATATATATATATATATATATATATGTATGTATCTCTAAAAATACTACTCGTAATTGGCTCAAAAGCATGGGGAAAACCTGAAAAGGCATCACAAATAAAAAAAAAAAGGACGTGGTGAAAACCTGAAAAGCCATCATAGGTAAAGAAAATAAAAAATAAAAAAAACTCTAAAAAGGATCTTCTGATGCAAAACACTCAAGTACAAACAAGTACTTACAAGTTCCAACAATACGCCACAAGCAGACCCTAAGGATGAAGACTCCTCTTAAACCCTACAGGTTCCCAACAGAGCCAACTGATGTAGAAGAGTGACATGAATGGAAAATCGAAATGACTTCAACGAACCCTGGAAGAACGTCGAGATTTCTCTAAGGTGGAAACCCAGCAAGAATCCAGCGAACCCTTCATGGACCCGTGAAGCACAGGATGAAAGCTCTAAAGGTAAAAGGACAACTTCGAGACTTTTCTCTAGGAAATCCTTTCATCATCTTTGGGTAAAATATTAGAAAGAAAATGATCACCAAAGGGGCCACAAGTGGAAAAACTGCAAGGCCTGTTTCTTTCAAAAATGCTTTTTCGATTTAATTTTTAAAACCGTCCATTTTCAAAACCCTTTTAGAAAGGACTTCCTCTATCATTACAAGCGATTAAACTGTTAAGTCATCTGGCCTCGTTCTCGAAGCCAACTTCCTACGCCTGTTATGAAGGCTTGAAACTAGTCAAGTACTCCATGGTTGTATGAGTATAACTAACAACTACAACATATAGGAGATGGGTGAATCTCGCCAATGATGAAATTGGATAGTCTGGGAGCATTTTTCTCTCAACTGGATCCCATGAGGCAAAATGAGGCAAGTTCATCCCTGTGTGTGCGTACGATGACCCAATAGCCTGGAATTGGAGACAAAAACCCTACAACTAGGGGGCTTAGTTTGTAAAAAATTCGGATTAAAAAGTGTGTGCAAAGAAAGTGTTCTATTATTCTTTGATACAAGAACCCCCCAACAGGGGCAGCAACAAGGAGAAAAAAAAATAGAAGGGATTCCACAATCCCAGAAGACTAATCAAAATGAGAAATAAAATTTTGGAGGTCTCAAAATTCTGATTTTATTCATCCATTGAAATTGGGCTTATTACATGCACTTACGCAATCAACTTTGGTCCCGAGACCGAAATTTCTACTGTCCTAATAGACTTCAACGAAAATAAAACAACTGAAAAATAATGGTGATCATGAGATGAACTTATTCATGCCAAGGAAAAAATAAAGAAAAAAAAAATATTTGGCTATTCAGTCTTCGGCTTCGGCTTCGGCTTCGGCTTCGGATCAACATTCTTTTCCTTGAGTTTTGCCACGAAGGCCATCCATCGAGCCAATTCGACTTCAGCCTCTTTCAAGATGATGTCAGACACATCCTCATTGGATTTGATTCGTTTATCTGAGCAGAAGCAGAAAGTTTGCCATGAAGTCTCGAAGATCTGGGGTATAGTGGAAGAGGACAGGCACGTTTCCACCAAGAATCATAGTTGGAGGTGGTTGTGGGATTATCTTCCTTGACCAACCCCTCACTAGAAGAAGATTTCTTCCCCTTCCATGACAACCCGCCTTGACCAGAAGGGTGGAAGCGAGTCGTCAAAGGGAAAAATAAGGTGGCGATCGATCACCTCTCCTAGAGAAGTATAATTCTGAGTATGGTGAAACTGGCGAAGTACTCTTTGAGGGAAATACCCTCTGTGAAGTGCTACCCCACTAGAATAAGACATGAAAGCCCCAGAGCAGGCAAAAATAGGGCCACAGTTTCAAGACCCCTGATCACCCAATCAAAGGATGATAACTCATCTTGAACCCGTCGATAGTAATTGACATCTCGAGGTCGAGTGGTGTCATTGACAGATGCCAGTCCCAAAGCAGTAGATACAGCTGCATTGATCAAAGAGAACAGACAATGGCGATATGTTCATAGGCCCAAATCTTCCAGAAAGCAGGAGCCAAAATGACCCCAACAGGTCACAAAACAGCAACCCAAGATCGTGGAGCCATCCATGGCAAATTGACCAGGGTGACACTAGTGGTGTCACCCAGCCTGTGTGGGCAACACTAGCAGTGTCACCCGGGCGACACCACCAGTGTCACCTGAGCGACACCACCAGTGTCGCCCAACTCATACCCTCCCGATTTAGTCTGAGCCTTTTCCAGTGACTTCCTATTGCAAAAATATGGGATCCAGGGAAAAAAACAAGAAGAAAAACTAAGTTTCATGGGAAAAATAAAATACATTGAGATAAAAAATATACCTACAAAATGAGGATACTGCCCTCGATGAATCGGTCACCTCGGGTGACCCGATCGTAAAGACCCCGGTAAATGCCGGCCAACACAACCGGAACAATGGTGTAACCAGCTCGCTCCCAAAAGGCATGAGCTAAAGGAATAAGGGAACTTCAAACCATCTTATGATCGCTTGGAAAAAGAATGGATCCTAACAACACAAAAAGAAAAATACAGATCTGTTCAGTGTCTCTAGACCGCTCTTGATCCCGAACCAGCAACTCCATATCGACCCACTGATCATGTGAAGAGTAAGCATCACCCAATAGTCACGCACCCATGATGGAATGATCGTTAGTGGTAGTAGAGGGTTTATACGCAATCCCGGCCAAGCTCAAGTTAGACACCCTAGTAATTTCCTTCAAAGTTGGCGTCGTCTCACCCGTAGGAAGGAAGAAGGTGTTTGTTTGATAATTGAACCTCTCAGCAAGAGCCTCAAGAAGTGGAAAGTTCACATGGTAAGAGGCCATGTTCAAGATGTCTATCATCGAAACTGAAGCCAAAAAGGCCATGAGCTCAGGCCATTGTTGAGCGGAAAGAAACCAATCCCCGAACTAGGGCCCGATGACAGGAAAGTCATTGACACATTCAGGAACTTCACCTGATTGAAGGCCCTGCGAGATATGGGAGGGCAGACCTTCAAAAAAGTTCCTAACCCTAGAAAAAAGAGGGAAAGCCTCCTCTTCTCCTCCATTATCAGCCCGCTTAAAAACCTTCCCCTTGCCCTTAGAAATAGCATTATTCTTCCTATGAGCCACGAAATCCTAAGGATGAGAAAGTAAGGTCAAAGGGAAGATGATGAAGAAGGAAGATGAAGATGGTAAGAAGAAAGATGAGCTTGAAGGAGGAAGGGAGAATGGGAAGGAAGATGATTTTTATAGAAAATAGGAAATCTTACCCAAAACGCGTCCTGTAGTTATCCACTTCGGCCAACAGAAGGTTTAGATAACCTTAAAACCTTCCAAAATGATAACCTTCAATTTTGGAGGTCAATGGGATGGGCGACATGTCTGGTGTCGCCCAATTCCGTA